CATCCTTTTTGAAAGAACAAAGGTGGGTGAGAAAAGGATTCAGAACAGAGTACATCCTCCCCTGGGGGAATCTGGATAATCCTTTGAGGGATAATGGAGCCAAATCTTCAAGGATGTACAGAAGTCGGCCGGATGCAAAACATCCAGAAAGATGTCTCAGAGAAAGAATGATCTTGGCAAGAGCGAGAGCAGTGAGCAGGCCTGGCAAGCAAGAGGTGTGCCATGAGCAGCCCTGCTGAAGGGGAAGGCCAAGCCTGGTGACCCAAGGACCGGGGAGACCGTGGACAGCCAGCCAGCTCACTTGTATTGAGTATCTTCTGTATTGTTTTGCCGGCATGAAAACTGAGGCTCAGAATCACACTAGCTTGCCCAAGTTGTACAGGAAGTGATGGGCCACAAGTCCATCTCAAGTCCGTCTGGCTCCCGGTCCTTTGCTCCTTTTCCTGCATAGTGCAGCTGAAGAGTATGGACCTCACTCTATTGGTTGCTGGTCTTTAGACCTTTTTTTAGTGGTAAAGGCCTTTTGGCAAATAAAATCCTAACCCCAAACTCTAGTATATAAGAACAGATCAGGTTGTATTTCATTAGCTTAAATTTCTTTCATATTTAAATGCATAACTTACAAGATCAACTCGTGAAAGCAGTGTTTTCTTTTTTTTTTTTAAAGATGTTAATTTATTCATTTGACAGAGCGATCACAAGTAGGCAGAGAGGCAGGCAGAGAGAGAGAGAGAGGGAAGCAGGCTCCCTGTTGAGCAGAGAGCCCGATGCGGGGCTTGATCCCAAGACCCTGAGATCATGACCTAGGCCAAAGGCGGAGGCTTAATCCACTGAGCCACCCAGGCACCCCAGTGGTTTTCTTTTTAATAAGCTCTTTCGTTTTGGAATCATTTTAGACTTAACAGAAAAGTTGCAAAGACAATACAAAGAGGTCCCAATACCCTACACCCAGTTCCCTCAGTGTTAACATCTTACGGCACCTAGGACATTTGTCTTAAATAAGAAGCTGATATAGGAATGTAACCATTAACTACAATCTATACCTTATTTGGATTTCACCAGCTTTTCCACTAATGTCCTCTTTCAGGATTCAGTCCAGGAAACCACACTGCATTTAGTTGCAGCGACTTTCTTTTGCCAAACACTTAAACACGAAGCCAGGAGTTCTATTACATTCCCATACACTCAGCTTTGTGACTCACAATAAGATAGTTCCTTGAACACTTGGAAGAAACTCTAGCTAGATGTGAAGAGGTATGAAGTTCTGGGCTACAAGCATGCAGGGTGAGTAGCCTACTACCAAAATATAATTAGGATAATTATCAGCTAATGCAGCCCAGTGAAGAATCCAAGAATGCATACCCCACAGATTTGATTTTGTCCGTCTTAACTTGAGCTGTCACAGAGTATGCTAGACGCTGGGCAGCGTCAACAACAATACTTATTTTTTCCACAGTTCTAGAGGACAGAGGCCCTAGATGAAGGTCCCAGCCATTTCAGTTCCTAGTGAGGACTTTCTTCCCATGTCCTCACATGGCCTTTTTTTCTGTGTCTGTGCAGGACAGGGAGAGGGGAGTTACCTCTCTCTTTCGGATCAGAGCCCCATCCTTATGACCTCATTTAACTCTAATTACCCCCTAAAGACCCTGCCTCCAATGCAATGACATTGAGGGTTAGGGCTCCCCCAAAGAAATTTGGGAGGAGGAGAGACAATTCAATCCGTACGTATTATTTGTAAAACACTTGATACTTACAAGACAATATTAAATACATAGCTCATACTTTAACACTCATTATTATATAAGTTGAAGAAGATGTATTATCATCTGAACAGATGGTCCCAAAGCAATGGTAAGAAAAAAATGTCAAAAGTGGTCATGTTATAAAAGCTGTTAGCCAAAGTTTTCAGGTGGTCATTGGATTTTACACAGGTGCTAGGAAGAAATCCCACATCCTTCAGAATAATGCCGAGTAATGCCATACAGTTATTAATTATTTGTTATTGGTTTGGGCTGTGAGTTCTAGAAGTTACTTTTCCATGTGAAATGTTAGTTACTGTATTGAAACGGTACAGGTACCTTCTCACAGAGTAAGAAACCACTTACTTTTATTTTGCTTTTGCTGATAAATAACTGGATAACTTTACCTCAACCAGTACTGAGTTCTCTCTCTTGCCTACTGCCTCTCAGTTACTTAAGGCAGGGTCAAGCGTGAGCTGCATTACCTGTACTGGATACTGCGAGTCGAGGAGTCCGCAGCCAGTGTGTTGAGTAAAGGGCTATTATTGTGGTTGTTTCTAGTTTGGGGACAGGGTGAATGATAACACTGTTAATCAAGAAGAGTGGAAGAATGAATAGATTTAAAGGGAAGAGTGAGTCTGAGGTGTTTTCAGGACACACAGGGAGATACACGGTCTTCATCTCAGGAACTTCAGGGAAAACAGGTAGCATTCTGGGATAGGTTTGAAGTCATCATTTGAAAGTAAGTTGGAGAGAATTTTTTTTTTTTTAATGAAAGAAGATATACCACTGGATCAGCATATTAGGGACTAGAAAGATCAATAAGGGGAAGAAATAATTTAGGTTTAAAAAACTGCAGTATGGGGGTGCCTGGGTGGCTCCGTGATTAAGCGTCTGCCTTTGGCTTAGGTCATGGTCCCAAGGTCCTGGGTTTGAGCCCCGCATCAGGCTCCCTACTCGGCGGGAAGCCTGCTTCTCCCTCTTCCACTCCCCCTGCTTGTGTTCCCTCTTTCTCTGTGTTTCTCCCTGTCAAATAAATAAGATCTTTAAAAAAGAAAAAAAAAAAACCACAGTGTTCCTCTAGGAAACGTGTGATATTTTATTGGAGTAGCCTGTTAATGTTCCAACAAGCAATTTGGTCAGTTGTGATATTTTCAGTCACTAAAGTGTTGAAGCTGTAATTTTACCACAGTAAAATGCCATCATGAGTTTACATTCGCCCCTTGGGTTCTTTTATCTGTCCCAACTTTATTGGCAGATCATTGACAAAATGTAATTGTATATATTGCAGGTGTACAATGTGATGATTTGAGACACATGTACATTGTGAAATGACTGCCAACAGGAAGATAGTGAACACATCCATCACCTCACATAGTTAGCTCTTCTGTTTGTGCATGGTGAGAGTGCTTAAGATTTACTGTCAGCAAATTTCATGTGTGCAACCCCCATTATTAGCCGCCGTCACTGTGCTGTACCTGAGATTCTCAGGACTGATTCATCTTATAACTGAAACTATGTGCCATTTGACCTCCATCTCCCCATTTTTCCTCCCCCTGGCCACTGCCATGTAAGTGATACTTTGCAGCATTTGAGTTCCTGTGTCTGGCTTATTTCACTTAGTGTAATGCCCTCCCATGTTCATCCCTGTTGTCACAAAGGGCAGAATTTCCTTCCTTTTTATGGATGATCATATTCCATAGTATATATATGTATATACACATTTTTTTTATCCATTCATCTGCCAACAGATCTGTAGGTTGTTTCCATGTCTTGCTCTGATGGGTAATGCTACAGGGAACATGAGAGCACAGATATGCCTTCAAAGTACTGATTCCATTTCCTTGGAATATATATACCCAGAAATGGGATTGCTGGGTCAAACAGTAGTTCTATTTTTCATTTTTTGAGGGACTGCTATACTATTTTCCATTATGGCTACACCGATTTACAGTCCCCCCAAACAATGTCCAAGTGTTCTCTTTTCTCCACATCCTTTTTATTTCTTATCTTTTTGGTAATAGACATTGTAACAGATGTGAGATGATTTTGAAACTAAGAAAGCAATCCCACTTGTAATAGTACCCCAAACAATAAAATATTTAGAAATACATTTAACCAAGGGGGTGAAAGACCCATACACTGAAAACTATAAGACACTGATGAAAGAAATGGACAAAGGCACAAATAAGTATGAAGATAGACTCCAATCTTGGATTACAAGAATTAATGTGGTTAAGATGCCCATACTACTCAAAGTTAGCTCCAGATTCAATATAATCTCTATCAAAATTCCAGTAGCATTTTTCACAAAAATAGAAAAAGCTATCCTAAAATTCATACAGAACTGCAAAAGTTAGCCCTGACCAGCTAAAGCTATCTTGAGACCAAAGACAAAACTGGAGGCACCACACTTCTGATTTCAAACTACATTACAAAGGTATAATAATCAAAGCAGTATGGTACAACATGAAAACAGACACACAGACCAACAGAACAGAATACACAGCTTGGAATAACTCCATGTGTATATGGTCAACTAATCTTCAATGGTTTCTTCAATAAATGGCATTGGGAAAACTGACAGCCACATGCAAAGAATGAAACTGGACTCCCGTCTTACACCACACACACAAATTAGCTCGAATTAAAGACTTAAATATAAGACAGTGGGTTCTTTTTTTCTTTTTTAAAGATTTTATTTATTTATTTGTCAGAGAGAGAGAGGGAGAGAGAGCAAGCACAGGCAGACAGAATGGCAGGCAGAGGCAGAGGGAGAAGCAGGCTCCCCGATGAGCAAGGAGCCCGATGTGGGACTCGATCCCAGGACGCTGGGATCATGACCTGAGCCGAAGGCAGCTGCTTAACCAACTGAGCCACCCAGGTGTCCCTAAGACAGTGGGTTCTTAAGTATATAGTTCAACTGGAACAGTTGCACCCAAAAGTACAAGTCATTCAACTCCAGAGCTTTGGTTTTAGTATATAGTAAAAAATCGTTGTTTTTCATTGCTGTAATGAACTTACTTTTTCCCTGTTACCAATTCTTCTCACCTTTCCAGTTCACGTTCCCACTTCTCTAGAGGCTTATGGAAAAAGTACCAGATGGCCTGGTCTTTTCACAGTCTTTGGGGGGAAAGCTGCCTCCATCTTGAGCTTGTTCCGGAAGCTCAAGGTGTTCACCAAAACTCTGCCCTCGGGGCTGCTCCTAAGCCTATGGTAAAATTGCAGGAAAGTGCTCACAGGCCTGTTCTCTGTTTGCAGGTGGTCCCCATGCTTCCCAGACTGCTGTGCGAGGAGCTGTGCAGCCTCCATCCCATGACCGACAAGCTGACCTTCTCCGTGATCTGGACACTAACCCCAGAGGGCAAGGTAACAACTTACACACGCGACCATTTCGTTCAGTGAGTCCCTGTTAATCACCCTCGGGGTGCCTGGGGCTGAGCTGGAATCCCCTGGTGGGAGGACAAGGGTACTGTAGGGACCACTGTAGCCACCACAGGGGAGAAAAGAAAAGAGCCCCCTGCCCCCGAAGAGCCGTCAGTCCACTTAGAAGGCCATACTGACCCTAAGCAATTAGAAACAAGTTACTTGTTTTTTATCTTTTCTCAGGAGAGGGAAGAAATTCTGTCAGCAAGGTCAAGTGGGGAGGCTTAGGGCAGGAGATAATATGGACATGAAGGCAAATGTGGCTTGGCCGTGAAAGGGGGAACATCCTGAGAGGACATTTGGGGAAAGGGTTGTGAGTTTGGATAGGTGGGGTGAAATCAAACTATTAGGAGCCTCAAATGCCAGTCACAGATGAATTCTGAATGTCAGCATCCCTCTGAAGTGTCGCGAGAAAGGTGCCATTGTAGGAAGGTGAGTGCTCCAGTGTTGTGCAGGTGACCCAGTAGTTTGAAGATGAATTAAAAAAAAAAAAAAAAAAAGATGAATTAAATCGACACGAGGTAATGCAATCATCAAGGCCAGCGGTGATGAAACCGTGGATCAAGAACAGAAAGGAGAGGAATGTCAGCAGGCACTCCCTAAAGATAGGGTCGAAGTAAGACAGATAAATGGAAGATAGCTCCAGGAAAAAAAAAAAAGAAAACCAGTTTCCTCCCCCACAAACAGAAACAACCCTAAACACCCAAAAAAAAAAAAAAAAAAAAAAAAAGGCAATAATGAAGTAAGATGTGGCATTCAGTGGAATGTGACACAGTTAGTAAAGCTGTGACAGAGACCACGTGGGAGCATAGGAAATGTTTATGCTGTGATATTAAGTGGAAGTAAAAAGAAGATATTGAATTATAAAGACGTTCCAAATAAAGATGGAGGATCAAATACCCACATTCACTTTCATTCCCTCCCAAAACCTCACTAAAACAACAGTGAAGAGATTTTTTTTTTTTTTAAGACATAAACCCACAAGGACAAAGAGAATGGGAGAGCAGACAACAGCAACAAAATTTTGGAAGCTAGAAGCAGATGGATGAGTGGTAACTGACTTAGCAGTCCGGAGAAAGCTGAATCCTGAGCCAACGATGGAGAAGTCCAAGAAACAACCCGACTTGACATAGCAGAACCCTAAAGAAATTCAGAAATCGGTGGCACCACATAACTCCACAAAGTAGAGAGGAGAGGTGGGTGAAGAGGAAACTGACCATACTGCTTGAAAATTTGTTTAGAAAGATCGCCCCTGCCATAAGTTGGAAGAAGACCAGAAATGTATGGGATAAAGCATGGATGGGATAAAGCAAAGGATGGATGGGATAAAGCAAAGGATGTCTAAACTAGAGGACACCAAGCACACCTGATGGCCATGGTCCCTTGGGAGAGGTCGAGTGAAAGCTGGCATCCTGAATGTTTAAAATCTTAGCTTTCTTTTCCAACCAAGCCCAGAATTCTGGTCGTCAAGCCTTTTACCCTTGAGTCAGGAGATAGGAAACTTTTTTTTTTTTTTTTCTTTTTGAGGAATCTGAGTGTGATGAAGATTTAGAGATAAGAACCTCAGGGGCTTCCTCACCGGCAGCCCAGCTGTGTCTCCCTGCAGAAAAGCCTAGAGGCAGAAAGCTCCACCAACACAAGCAGCACTTTTTAGGATTTCACTAAAAATCAGCACTTCAGTATTTCACTCTCACATATGAAGAGACAACCAAGGAGCACCTGGCTGGCTCAGTTGGTGGAATGGGCAACGCTTCATCTTGGGGTCATGAGTTCAAGCCCCACATTGGGTGTAGAGATTACTTAACAAGAGAGAGAGAGACAACCAAGACCAGAGCCTCTGCCATGAAATAAAAAAACCAAAGTAAACAAACAGAAAAAAGCAACTAGGGCAAAACAGACTCTATGGGGGAAAAGAAACTATCATTTATAGCCCATGAGAATTTTTTTAAAGAAATGATGTCATGGGGGTGCCTGGGTGGCTCAGTGGTTTAAGCCCCTGCCTTCGGCTCAGGTCGTGATCTCGGGGTCCTGGGATCGAGTCCCGAATCGGGCTCTCTGCTCAGCGGGGAGCCTGCTTCCCTCTCTCTCTCTCTCTGCCTGCCTCTCTGCCTACTTGTGATCTCTGTCAAATAAATAAATAAAATCTTAAAAAAAAAGAAATGTCATAACCTCTAGATACTTTACAAAAGAAATGGGTTGGTGCAAGAAGAAAGAGCTCATGAAAATTTAAAACGTGATAGAAGAAACGAAGATTCAAGACTCTGGTTGGAAGACAGAGTTGAGGAACTGTCCCAGAAAGAGATAGAATAGATAAGAAAATTAGAGAACTAGTCTAGGATAGCCAGTATCTGTTCAGTGAACATTCCAGAAATAGGGAACAGTCAAAATAGAGGGGGAAGAAATGATCAATAAAATAAATTCAGGAACTGTCCCTTTACCAGAGGATGTGACTTTCCAGAGTGAAAGCACCCAGTGCCCCAGCACCGTGTTTGGATACACATTGTCTCCAGGCCACAGCATCATAAAATTTCAGAGCATCAAGGACAAGGGAAAGATCCTCTCGGCTTCTAAGAAGGAAAAAAGAAAAGTCACATACAGTATTATCAGGACTCAGAATACCTTCAGACTGTTTTTCTATTATAAGCCTAGTAGCTAGATGGCAATTGAAACAAAGCCTCCTGGTTTCCAAAAGACGGATTTTTGTGCTAAAATTCTGTACCCTGATAAGTTCTGAATAAAATGTGTGAGTAGGAAAAGACATTTCAGACATGCAAGGCCTCAAAAAAAAAAAAAAAAAAAGTATCTCTCATATACCCTTTCTCAGAAGCTACCAGAAGATGGGCTTTATGAGAATGAAAGAGTAAGTCAGGAAGGAGGAAGACCTGGGATTCCAGGAGCAAATAAACCAACCCAAGAAAGCAGTGAAAGAATCACCTAGATCACAGATTGGGAAATTTTCTCTGAAAAGGACAAAACTTTTCCTGTAAAAAATAGTACCTTTTTTTTTTTTAAAGCTTTTAGGCCATTCGGTCTCTGTCACAACTACTCAGTTCTGCTGCTGTGGTGCAAAAGCAGACAATACATAAATGAAAGAGCATGCTGTGGTCCAGTGAAACTTTCCTTAAAAATAGATGGCTATCACTGCATGATGGGCATTACGAAGGGCATGTGATGGAATGAGCATTGGGTGTTCTATGCAACTGATGAATCACTAGATTCTACCTCTAAAACTAATAATACACTATATGCTCCTTAGATTGAATTTAAGTTAAAAAGAGAAATAGGTGGCAGGCTGGATTTGACCCCTGGACCATAATTGGCTGACACCTGTAGATGATGGTGAAGGAAGCCCTTAGGGCACTGGTCCTACGGAGGTATAGAAGACAGTCAGTCCAGACTGTAGCAGGCCAGAAGGCTCTAAGAGAGATGTCTTTAAGAAAATGAAATGGTTAAAACAGCTATGTGTCTGAATTTCTTGAGAAATGATTTAGACCAGCAGTTATAGAACTTTCTTTTTTTTTTTTTAAGATTTTATTTATTTATTAGAGAGAGAGAGATCACAAGTAGGCAGAGAGGCAGGCAGAGAGAGGAGGAAGCAGGCTTCCTGCCGAGCAGAGAGCCCAATACGGGGCTCGATCCCAGGACCCTGGGATCATGACCTAAGCCGAAGGAGGAGGCTTTAACCCACTGAGCCACCCAGGCGCCCCAGTTATAGAACTTTCTAGTCCCAGGCCTTGTTACACTAAAAAAAGTCTTTGATGACCTCAGAATGCTTCTGTTCATGTGAATTACCACTGTTTACCTTATTAGAAATTAAAACCAATAAAAACTTTAAGCACTTACCTATTTAAATTAAGGTAATAATAATAAGCCCAATCCATTATGTTAACATAAATAACACTTTATGAAAAATAATTACATTTTCTAAAATTTAGAAGAGAAACTGGCTTTATATTTTTGTAAATCTTTTTCACATCTGTACTAAAGACATTAAACCAGGTTCTCATATATGCTTCTATATTCAAACTGTTAGGATAAGTTATTTTGGTTGAATTACATTTGTGAAGAAAATCCAGCTTCAGACAGGTTGTTAGGAAAGAAAGGTGTATTTTAATCGCTTTTTCAAATAATTATGGATATTTGTCCTTGTACTACACCAGAATTCAGCAGTTCCTTAAAAATTAGTTCCAGTCTAGAATCCGAGACTGTATCTGCTACAGACTTCTGTACCCCCAAAACTCATATGTTAAAGCCCTGAGGCCCCCAATGTATATTTGGAGGTACAGCCTATAGGGAGATACTTAAGGTTAAATGAGTTCATAAGGGTGGGGCCTTGACCTGATAGAATTAATGTCTTTATAAGAAGAAACTTGTGAGGACACAGTGAGAAGGTGATGCCTGCAGGCCAGGAAGAGAGCCTCTCTCACCAGGAACCACACTGGCCTTCCCAGCCTCTAGAACTGTGAGAAATCAATGTCGTTTAAGCCTCCCTCACTAGGGTATGCTGTGAGGGCCACCCCCATAGATTAATACAATATCAGCTGAGGTTTTTTTTTAACTGGGTTATAGTAAAATCTGTTTTATACTTTAAATGGATCTTTTACCCATACAGTGATTTTTTTTTTAATCATGTACTTAGAAAGTTTACAACATTTAGAAAACACTGGCTCATTATGCTGATCTCTTAAATGTGAACATATTTCATTATATGATCTCAAAATATCACATTGGTTAGTGCCTCTGCTGATTTAGGTAAGATTTTAAGTATTAGGAAACACGCATTCATGTGTCGGATACAAGGTTTGCAAAATTCTAATTTTTGCGAAAGCTCAAATTTTATCATGGGCAATAAATAATGCAGTTGTTTTTCTCGAAGTGCCGAAGAACCACAGCTTGAGTGATATTTGTTCCTTAAGGTAAAATGGTGTTCTGTTTAAAAAAAA